GGTGGCAGGAGCCAGGTACTTCTCCTGGTCTCCCATGGGGTGCAGGGCCCAAGCACCTGGGACATTCTCCACTGCACTCCCTGGCCACAGCAGAGAGCTGGCCTGGAAGAGGAGCAACCGGGACAGAATCCGGCACCCTGACCGGGACTAGAACCCGGTGTGCCGGTGCCGCTAGGCGGAGGATTAGCCTAGTGAGCCGCGGCGCCGGCCCTATTACTAAATCTTAATATTTTACTCATACCAATTTACTTACACTTACTATTCCAGTGTATTGCATGTCAATCTTTTTTTGAATAACAGCAGTTTATATCTGATTTACCTGTTAAGCTTCAGAAGGAAACTTTTTATTTTATTTTTGTGACAGGCAGAGTGGACAGTGAGAGAGACAAAGGTCTTCCTTTTTCCATTGGTTCACATCCCAATGGCCTCTGTGGCTGGCGCACCGCGCTGATCCGAAGGCAGGAGCCAGGTGCTTTTTTCCTGGTCTCCCATGGGGTGCAGGGCCCAAGAACCTGGGCCATCCTCCACTGCACTCCCAGGCCACAGCAGAGCTGGCCTGGAAGAGGGGCAACCGGGACAGAATCCGGCGCCCCGACCGGGACTAGAACCCGGTGTGCCAGGGCCACAGGTGGAGGATGAGCCTATTGAGCCACGGCGCTGGCCCAGAAGGAAATTTTAACACTCATTCTGTTTTTTTTTTTTTTTTTTAAAGTTTTTTTTTAATTTTTTTTATTTTTTTTATTTTTGACAGGCAGAGTGGACAGTGAGAGAGAGAGACAGAGAGAGAAAGGTCTTCCTTTGCCGTTGGTTCACCCTCCAATGGCCGCCGCGCTGAGGCCGGCGCACCGCGCTGATCCGAAGGCAGGAGCAAGGAACAAGAAACAACTAATACATTAAAAAAGGTAGAACACATTTTTTTTTTTTTTTTTTTTTTTTTTTTTTTTGACAGGCAGAGTGGACAGTGAGAGAGAGAGACAGAGAGAAAGGTCTTCCTTTGCCGCTGGTTCACCCTCCAATGGCCGCCGCTGCAGTCGGCGCACCGCGCTGATCCTGGCAGGAGCCAGGAGCCAGGTGCTTTTCCTGGTCTCCCATGGGGTGCAGGGCCCAAGCACCTGGGCCATCCTCCACTGCACTCCCTGGCCATAGCAGAGAGCTGGCCTGGAAGAGGGGCGACCGGGACAGAATCCGGCGCCCCAACCGGGACTAGAACCCGGTGTGCCGGCGCCGCAAGGTGGAGGATTAGCCTATTGAGCCACGGCGCCGGCTCCACATTTTTTATTATACATTTTATTTTAAAAAATTCTTCTCAATGAATGCATTTTCTCAAGATTGACAGAGTGGGAAATAACAATTACTTACAGTTTTATATTTATGCACAGATTATTTTAGGACAAATCAAACATTTGAGCATTAAGTTTCAGTTTAGAATTTGAAGTGTTTATTACATCTACCAGGAGGACCACTTTCCAAATGGAACTTCTTTAGATGAAGTTTTCTAAGCTTTTCTTTGTAGCATTTAAAAATCTGTAATGTGCGTTATCAGCATTTCCTAATTTCGAGGTTTCCCTAGGACATGTAACCACCAGGAGCTGCTATCATTTGAACAGAGTGGGAGATTTGCAAATATTCAGCACTAGTTTTCCACAGTCTTTACTCATGAATTAAGTTTTTCCCTTCGTCCTTTATTCCTAGGACAACTATGGAAGAGTCTGATCTTGTACTGATAGCAGTAAAGCTCAGTTCCCTTTAAGAGACTGATAAATTAAAAGGCAAAGGCTCACAGACAATGCTTAGTTACACTGCGAGTCTCAAGAGAAACTGGGCGACAACTTACCAGAATGCAGAACTCAGTCTCGCAACTCATTAGCTAGCAATTCTCAAATCTTTCTCTCAATGAGTAAATTCTGAAAATAACCAAGTGATTGGGACAAGTTTGTACACCCATGGCCTTAATCTGTTACTTCCTCCTTTTGGTGAGTTGAATGCATGACAGAGCAGAGGCATAAAATCGATTCTTAAGGCATTAAGTCAGGAAGGTCAGAGCTTCCACAGCATGGCGACAGCTTTGCAGATGCCCACATCGTGGTAGTTGAAATAACAAAGGCCAGCAAAGGTTAAAGCCGAGAGTGCCAGAAGGCCTGCCTTGGCAGCTTTCTGTGGTGCATCCCCATGCACGTAGTCAGTAACAACTTGTCCAAGGCCCCTAAAGGAAAAAAAATAGCACAAATGAAAAAAATCACAAGGGAATTTAGAAGGCTATATAGATAACTTGTGTCTCCATCCGCCTCTCCAACAACTGTCTGCTTCTTCAGGGGACTCAGAACAGTTACTTTTATAGGTAGAATTACTCTATACTTTTTGGAGATGGTAAATCAAAGCAACTCATATTAGTAAGATTCACAAACCAAAATGAAGGAATCCAGAGTTCCCTAATAACGTGACAAAACATCCTCCCAGTATTCAGATTCAATTTTTGAGTCATTTATTAAGACAGTAACTAATTGCTGTTCTATTTATAAAATGTTACTGTTTTCAACTGAACTCGACAGTGTTCATTAACTCAAGAATTTACTGAGCAGTAGCCAAGAATTTACTGAGCAGTAGCCGGCACTGTGGCATAGCGGGTAAAGCCACTGCCTACACTGCTGGCATCCCATACGGGCACCGGTTCTAGTCCCAGCTGCTGCACTTCTGATCCAGCTCTCTGCTATGGCCTGGGAAAGCAGTGGAAGATGGCCCAAGTCCTTGGGCCCCTGCACCCACGTGGGAGACCTGGAAGAAGTTCCTGGCTCCTGGCTTCGGATCGGTGTAGCTCCGGCTGTTGCGGCCAACTGGGGAGTGAATGAGCGGATGGAAGACCTCTCTCTCTCTCTTTCTCTCTCTCTCTGCTTCTCCTCTGTCTGTGTAACTCTTTGAAATAAATAAATAAATCTTTTTAAAAAAACAATTTACTGAGCAAATATGTGCCAGAACTTGTCGAATGTTAGGAGCACAATAAAATGGCATCCCTGCCCTTATGGAACAGTCTAGTGAAGCAGAAAGGAAAAGTAAATACACATGAAATATGAAGAAATATTTCAGGAAAGATAACATAAATAAGGACATTTCAAATAAGTGACAACGCTGCTACTTGGGACACCGACATCCCGCACCAGAGTGCTCAGGTTAGAGGCCTGGCTCTGCTTGATTCCAGCTTCAGGCTAATGCACATCCTAGTGACCAGCAGTGATGGCTCAACATGCTGGGTCCCTGTCACCCACACGGGTGACCTGCATGAATTCCAGGCTCCTGGCTTCAGCTGGGCCCAGCTCCAGCTGTTGCGGACATTTCAGTGAAGCAGTGGATGCATGACCTCTCTCTGTAGCTTTGCCTTTCAAAATAAAACTACTGGGGCAGGCATTTGGTACAGCAGTTAAGACAGCACTTGGGATGCTTGCATCTCATATCAGAGTCCCTGCATTCAAGTCCTAGCTCTGCTTCCAAAGCAGCTTCCTACTGATGTTACCCTCAGAGGCAGCAGGTGATTACTTAGGTTCTTGGGTGCCTGCCCTCCACGTAGAGGACCTAGATCAAGATCCTGGCTCCTGGGCATTTAACCAGCAGATGGAAGATCTCTATGTGTCTCTGCCATTCAAATAAATAAAACAAATACAAGTTTTAAAGAGTGACAATGACCTTGTCATCTCTGTGGAACAGTAAAGAGGTCAGTATGGCTGGAGTGGAGATCAGAGAAATGAAGGAACAGACTGCAAAAGGCCTTGAGGGTCATGACAAAGAGTTTGAATTTTATCTGAATGTAATAGGAAACCATTGACATGTTTTAAGCAGGGAATATCCTAAGTATTTTCTATAGCAGTTCTATTGAGCTGTAATTCACGTATCATAAAATTTGCCTTTCGAAATGCACAGTTCAGTAGTTTATCCATAAAATTGTCCAACTATCTCCACTACTTAATTCCCTAACACAACCATCACCCCCAAAAAGCCACCAGCCCATTTCACATCCACTAATTTTCTTTTTGTCTCTATGGATTTGCCTACCCTGGACTTTACATACAAAAGAAATGATACAATATGGGTCCTTTGTGACATGTTTCTGTCACTTAGTATGTTTCCCATGTTCATCCATACGGTAGCATACTTCATTCCTTTACAAAGCTCAATGATATTATTCTATTTGTACAAACATGCCATATTTTCTTTAGCTATTCATCAGAGGTGGATATTTGGATTATTTCTACTTTTCAGCTAATAAAGTAATGCTGCTATAAGAATTCCTGTAGAAGTATTTGCGAGGACACATGTTCTCAATTCTCCCAGGTATACAGATAAAAGTGGAACTGCTGAATTATATGGTAACTCTATGTTGAAGCTTTGGTCAGGACTGTGAAATCACTTTACAAAGTGGCTACAGTGTTTTATATTCCCAGCAGAAATGTGTAACTGTTCCACATTCTGGACAACCCTTGTCATTCTCTACCTTTTTAATAACAGTCATCCCAGCAGGTGCGAAGTAGTATTTCACTGTAGCTTTGATTAGTGTTTCTCCAAAGACAATTTAACTTTTCATATGCATATTGCCCATCTGCAAATCTTTGTTGGAGAAATATAATTTTTCTTTTTAAAAAGGTCACTCTGGGAGCAGGCACTTTGGTGTACTGGGTTAAGTTGCCACTGAATTGCATACTGTAGTGCCTGGGATGGAGTCTTGCTTCTGCTATTGATCCAGTTTCCTACTACTGCACTTGGAAGGCAGATGACACTCCAAGTATCTGAATTCCTGCCATCCACTGGGACATCCAGATGGTGATTCTGGCTTCTGGCTTCAAGCTTCAGCCTGGTCCAGCCCCAACAGTTGCAGGTATTTGGAGTACGAACCAGCAAATGGAATACATCTCTCCGTCTCTCCCTCCCTCTCTGGCACTCTTTCAAATAAATAATTTTTTTTAAAGTCACTCTGCCTACAGTGTGGTGAACAGACAATGCAAGCAGGAAAAGGGTACAATTTAGAAACAGAAGCTAGGGGGTATGCTCAGAGCAAGGGGCCTGAAGAATGGCTCCTCTGTTTACAACACACCCAACAGGAATCTTGGGTCATTGTGATGAGATACATAAAACTTGTGGCCTTTTTACAAACAAATGCCCTACACATGTGCCCTGTGCACATTCATGTGGCTACCAGGCAGGACCAGTGGCACAAGGCTCAATATTGGAAGAAAAGTTGCAGCGTTCAGTGGAGAACATCACCACATAGTGTCTCTCTAGTCTATGCCTTGGTGGGTCCTGGGTTGTCTTAGAAATAAAGGTAGAAAGGTAGAAAGAAAGAAAGGTAGAAAGGTAGAAAGAAAGGTAGAAAGGAAGGAAGGAAGGAAGGAAGGAAGAAAGGAAGGAAGAAAGAAAGGTAGAAAGAAAGGTTGAACGAGAGGACTAAACCCAGGAAGAAAGAAAGGAAGAAAGAAAGGGTCACTGGATCGATCACAGAATGGCACAAAAGAATGGACTAAAGACTGACACATACGAACAAAGGAAGGGAAGGAAATGATGAAAGTATGCAATAAACGATAGGAAGCAAACAAAGGAT